CTATCTGTAACGATGGTAAGAAGATACTTTTAGTTAATTAGGCTCCGTCCACACTACTCCGGAGAAATTTTAAACGCAACAATCACCGGATCTGTGTTCGTGGAAAACTTGGCCAGGGAAATCACGATTTTAGTGACGCCATCGTTTTTGGAAAGCTCCGTTTTCAAAACGTTTTCCGTCCAAACTAAAACGTAAAACCCGCGTCTTCAAATTCCTCCAGTTTGAAGAGCGTTTTCGAAAAGCTCCGTTTTCGTGACGGATTAGTGTGGATGGTAAGCCTAACCGTAGAAATAAAGCTGCGTTTTCAAATTTCTACGGCGCAGTGTAGCTGGAAAACATTTGATGCGCGTTCAGAGTGAAAAAGCCGTTTTCAAATTTCTCCGGTGTATTGTGTGAACGTGAAGTTCTCATCAAACACAAGTGCAAACGCGAAAATAAAAAGGAATGAGAACAGAGCTTCAAATTTTTCCGACAGACTGTGTAGAGAAAAATCCTGTGTGTGTGACACTGGTTAAAGAGCGTGTATTCGCGTCGAAATAAGTACAGGGAGTCCAAGAGGAAAAGAACACCCGATGGGGGTATTTATACGGTAAGGTGGGCACATATGGGAACGCAAATACCTAAGAAAATGGCAAAAACCTCGAAAATTTATAAGACCCTGACCCTTGAAAATGTGTCAGAGGTTCAACTAGCCCTGAAATGCCAGTCATCTCCCGCCCTGAGCCTCATTCCCGGGATGAGGCTCAGGACGGGAGATGACTGGTATTTCAGGCTACGGTTCAACATAACTGTAGAAAACGCTAGAGGTTCCGAGGATTAACGCGCGTGTATCCGCGAAAAAACGCGCGTGTCCGCGTTGAAAAGGCAACAGAACATCAACGAGTGAAAAACAAGATGCTCTTTAAAATTAAGGTGGGAAAAAACGTGCAGAACGCGCGTTAAATCCAAAACAAAGGTAAAAAAAACAAACCTGAAAACGGTTCAGAGAGGATAGAAAACGCAGGAGTCACACATAACTCATCAAAACACATCAATCTTTTATTACTATTATCACTCAATTTCATTATCTCTTATGATTTTTGGGCAGATTCGAGTGATTTCTTTTCATGACATCATTATTCTCAAGCAAATTTGTACATTTTGACACTGTGTTTTAGCACAGTATTAACACTTGAAAAAATAATCATTAACTTAATCCCATTTATTAGCATTTGCCTTAAATAAGTATTTCTGTCTGAAATGACAGGATTTTGAAATTATGTTCCCGAAAATTCACAATTTCCACTCAAAAAAGTTTCAACCGTGATTCAATCCCTCTTAATTCTTGTGACTAAAAACTATTGCCTTGGCAGATGGATTGTGGCCATTCCAGCAAAATTGTTTGAGGTAAAAACACGGCCTAAATTCACCCTCGCCTGCGAGAGGTTCCAACATACAAAAATTAAACAAGTCAAATTTCTTAGCCGTTAATCGTCATGATGTCACGCAAATCATCTTGTGATAGAACGTGAAAATTGACAGGCGTTACTCGAATTTACCGCAAGTGTTGCGTGACAGATCAGTACACAGGAGCCTTTTCTGTTCGGCCTATTTTGCGCTTTCCTGACAATGATCTTTTCAAGCAGGCTATACACAGGTCGTTCCCTTCCCTTGCCTCTTGACTGACAAGATGGAAGCTCAAAAACCCGTGGGGTAAATCCTCTAAGATGTACAGTTCCACGTCCTTCTCCAGGGAGCGAAGCTTTCGGGCAAACTCGACCGAGTCGTCCAATATGGGATCCAGTGTGCAGGCCTGAAGAAAATAAGTTAGAAAATATAAAGAAAATATGTTAGGCAAACATGTTCTGTCTAAGACAGACAGACAGACAGACAGACAGACAGACAGACAGACAGACAGACAACCTTTATTTAAA